TATTTCTTCAAATGCATGACTGTGCTGCTCCCCATTTCTTTTCCATTTGTAGTAGGCGTTTATCCCTGCCAGTGCGTAGGGAGAGCTTCTACTTAACTTCGCACATGGTCACACTAAATGATGAGGATTAATCACAGACCCAAGGGTTTATTACTGAACTTTAAGATTTTTTTTCCCCACAAGAGTTGGGGCTGCAGAGTAGAACCTTTAGCTTTTGACCAGTATTATAGACAGACACATTTTCAAGTAACATAAGATCTCTTACACCTTTCTTGCTACTGTAAAACACTTAATATAATGGTATGGTGTAGGGCATACAATGGGATCTTCTGGAGAAACTGTAATTTTAGATCATCGGTTGCTGGAAAATCACTCGGGATCCATGACTAAAGATGAGACTGACTGAATCAACAATTTAAAAACTTGCTGAGCATTTTCTTTCTAGTGTCAGCAGATTACCTGTGTATCCTGTGATCATTTCTATGACACATATGACAGTACTATTGGCCAGAAATAACAGAATAAACGATTCTACCAAGACAACGTCTACATGATCAACAGCACAGGATGTACTCCACGCGACCAAAACTTGAGACCCATTTAAGTTTAATGAGACCCATTGAAATTCATTTAGGTTTTTCCACTACCTGGATGCAAGGCCAACGTGTTGACAAATATCACGGTGCTTACAAGGAACGAGGCTGTTACCAGCCAGCCCGCTTCTCTCTTCTGGCTGTGGGAGGCCGGAGGGTACCATTCCTCCTTCCTCTTGTGGCCCGTGGCACAGCACCTTGTCAACTCACCCTGTTCTTTCTCTTTCCTAAAAGATTTGAGAGCTGCAATTGCATAGGAAACAGCTTCTCCTGGCAGGTTCAGCTTGCTTTTAAGTTTCTAGCCCTCATGGCTGCAGAAGAAAAGTCCCTCGGAATGGACAAGGTACAAACAAAACGTTCTGCTTTGTCCTGTAGAAGTTTCAACATCTGAAGTCACCGTGGGTTGACATGTACTTCATTTTAGCAGCAGTGAGCACCAGCAGCTAGCCTCACATGGGTGCTTGGACTGCTTGGGAGATGGTGATTACAGCCTCTTCGAATCTGCTCGCTGGATGTCATACCTCCGGGCCAGACACAGTCCCACCCTTTGTCTAACTGTTTAGAAGGGGAAAAAAAATATCCTGAAACTATGTTCTCCAATTCCCAAACGATATAACATTTTCATTAGCAATTAATTTTGATTTCTTAAGAGTAAGTCATGTATACATTTCAGGTAAAGTACTAATATTTACCAAGGCTGGAAGAGTTTGGGAGGTGGAGGCAGAAGGATAGAAACTTTTTTACCATTTAAATTGATTTAGTAGAGTAAGTTACAGCTATCCACATCTTAAAGCCCCTCTAAACTGCCTGTGAAACTATCTAATGGACGAACAAAGGCAAATTACTGCTTTCTTCTCATACCTGTAAAAAGGGATTAACCATATAGCAAAATATAAAGGAGGTCTATTAAGATCTCCAGGGGAAAAGTGTTTCATGAGTATTGCTTTGAATATAAATAAGAAAGTAAATGAAAGTGAGGTCTAGGAATAGAAAAGAAAAAAAAAAAAAAAGCTTGTAAACCCACTGCAAGTGGAAAAAAGTTTTCGTGAAATCAAGACCGAAAAAGTTCAGTTGACAATTATTGTGACCAGGAACAGCTGGTGTTCCTAATATTATCTGCATTAGTACCAAGAGAGATTTGTTGTATTTATTTCCTATCATATGACCACTGCAGTTCAGTCTCTGCTCCGCAGCTGTCCTGGGTAGTGTCTAATGTAGGCTGCCTTTGTTTTAGGTATTTGGTACACAGCACGAAGTCAAAACAAGTTCCTGAGCTTTCAGACTAAACCAGCCTGGTGTAACATGGACACTGTTTGCCTACGAGCTGCTTAACTGGTTATGCAGGCTTTACAATAGCACATACAATAAAACTATAATGTTTAAAGGGTAAATATATTTCTTTTTTGTAAAATACATATTATTTGCATGTTATACAACAACAGAAAAAAAATGGGAAAAGTTCTAATATATTATCTTAAATGCAATTCCTTAAGATATTGACAGAAATACCCATTTTGCGAACTTTTGGGCAGCTCCAGTTAGGTATGTTTTTATCAAAGTACAAAGAAACTAACTGCTTATAACTGGGACACTATAGTAAAATAAGTTTTGTGTTGAATTTTGGTAAGCAGTAGCCTAGGTAGTTCTGGGTTTTGCTTTTCACTGTAAAGCTCCTACCATATATCTATATGAGACGCTCACATGAAACAGGCCAAAAAACATAGCTGCTGTCTGTAGACTTTGTAACTGACGTTAAAAAGGGGTTTTTAAAGCAGCGATCTGTTTAAATGCTTTTGGATTTTAACCTTTTTCTATAACAAAAAATTGCTGATTAAAGCTAAATTTGCTTTTCTTTCAACATCTTGCATCACTATTAGCGAAGTTAGGTGACATTAAAATCGAGAGCAGCTGTAACTCGCTTTCATTATTCATCCGGTAAACACTGACTTCTCAGGTCCATAAGAGAGACCCTTTCAGTGGTAATCAATCAAGAGCGATCACTTCCCAAAGCAGAATTTTATTGCCATTAAGGCTACATTAAGGCATATTCCATACAGGAGTTCGGGTAATAGCGGAGTCTCTGGAGACAGCAGAGCTTCTTCATCCAGCTGCCTGCATTAAAAGTGACAGTGTCACCACATAATACGCTTACACCAGAATGAAAGTTTGGTCAGAGTTAAGGTCATGCAACTGTAGTTTGCAATTTCCTCAGCTGAGCGGTATCTGTTGCAACAGATCCGTTGATGAAACCGTTAATTCAAATAAAAGGTCTTTGTTACCTTCTTCCCTTGCTTTGTCCACACTGACACCAGTACCCAGAAAAGCTGTGGAAGCTGCCCACAGAAGCCAAGAGATACAGTATGATGTGAAGTACTATCGCTCCAATCACACATTTCTGTTGTCCGTGACAGACTTTTTTTCAAACCCATTTCTCAGCTCTGTAACCTGGTCTCATCCGCCTGGTCTTTTCTCTTCCTGCTCTCCAGTGTTTCTAGTCACTGCATCGCTTCTCTCTCCTCACACGCAGTTTACTGAAGATGAAGTGAACAATAGCGCTCAAAATGGTAATTGTGGAACAGATCAGAAACTCAAAAGGGCTCAAAGCCAGGGAGCTATAAAACTTAACAGTCATTTCATGAGCTGAATTATCCAAGCAGAAGTAAGCTTCAAGTCCCGGAGTTTATGCTTCTTCCCCACAACTGTCACCCACATGTGGCTAATAAATTAACCACACGGACCGACCAAAGTCAATACTGCATAGATCACTGCTTTAGAAGAGTAACAGCGACTGAATCGCTTGGGACAGAATTTGTGGTTTTGTCTGAAAAGGAAGAGTGTGGTGTAATGAAAAAACGGTGACAGCTTATTGTGGAACGGGGCAAAGAGAGAAGCGCTCTTCCAGGCGTGAGGGTGCTGGGAGAAGGCACATTGCATGGAGCTTTCAGCATCGGCGCTGCTGTGGAAAGATTCCAGTATCATGTTCAAGCGTGGAAAATTTTCAATACTGCCTGCCTTGTTGGAGGACAGACAGATGTTAAAGACTACAACTGTTTGGTTTCTTATGCTGCCCTATGTTGCATGACATTGCATGACATAACCTTCTATGTATATATTTAATTGTACAAAAGCCTTCTTTTTCAGAGAAGAGAATCTAGAAAAAGAATATCTTTAAAAGAAAAAAGGACCTAATTTCTTTCTTACAACATTTGATTAAACATTTGAAAGGCAGGTCTCATTTTTTCCCCATAGCAGTAATTACACTTTCTCACCCTACCTGCTTTTCCACAATCATTTTCCTCATAGTCTTAAAGCAGATATGAACACAGGCGCAACAGAGGAAGCCTCACTGCAATTATAACCTGTAACTTCCAAAGTATTTTTTTCCAAGAACTTGCTATATTAATGTTAAAAGGAAGAGTAAAAATATGTTAATAACAAACTTATAAAAAGCTTTTTTTTTTGTTCAAGAACTGACAGAGAATGGATTTGGAAGGGTAAAATGAGACAAATTCTTCTCTCCTTTTAACTGTTAAAGATCATCTCTGGTGCCTTTTCAGTGACACACTCCCAGAGGTCATGACTTGCTATTTTAGAAGCACTGGCATTGAGAAACCTCTGTTCCCTGAAGACTAGTGGACCACTTCATTGTTTTTTCAACTGCATCAGCAAGGATTCAGAAGTAAAACTGATTTTGATGGAGTTAACCTACATTTTTATATGGCTGCAAACAAGGTGGGAGGTACCTATGAATTTGTTCTTGTTTGAATGGTGTGATCTGGAAAGCTCTAGGTATTTCTGGTAGACAAAAAATGGTTTTACACCAGAGATACTAAGGGCTGTACTATGATTCATTCAGTACACACTTGTATTGTAAGATTCTACCATCTGTTACAAAACTACTTTATTAACTAGAAAACACTCCGCAAGAAACTGCCATATACAGGTGGTTTACCACAAAGTGAGTAAGTAACCCATCTGGCAGCTTAATTCACCAAACAAAATAGTGCTTTCCAACTAATGTATGAACTAAAAGCATTTTTAAAGCCTGTTTAAAACAACTCCTTGCGAAATGGCTAGGCCTTCACACAACTCAGTCCCGCAGAACTGAGAACATGAATTTGCTACCAAGTAGTAGTAGAATGGTTTATAGTAATAAATACTGGAACACAGAATGTCCCCTGTGTAAATGTTTATTTTAGAAGATAAGCATAAGCTTTGCTGGTAGGTTAAACACTATCAAAAGGAACAGCCACAGAAGTTAGCCAATAGAAGACATTTACTACCATATTAGCGAACTGTTAGGCATGAACACATCCTTGTCCGAAGGCAAAAAAAAAAAAAGAGCTTGAAGGACTGGACCTGATAAGCGCTTCTCATTCAATGCTCCTTACACTGAGCAGATCTGGAATGGGGGAGACTCTGGAGAGCAAGACATTGACCAATCTCACACCTGCAACTAGTCAGTACCCTCAGGTAGCTTAGAGCTGCTTGCTGCTGTCTTTTAAAGGTTTTGTTTGTTTGCTTGTTTTTAACCATTGGGCTAGGTTAAAATGATTAAAACTTTACTGAAGGCATGGCATCGTCAGGAAGCCAAGTTCGACTCTGCTTTTCAGCACTGCTATAACTACACCCGAAAAAGTAAGAGTGTTAGAAACTCCTTAGATTAGCAAGAATATTTATCTAAACTGATGTTAACTAGAGAATTGGATGAAAGTAACCAGACAGAAGAAAACCAACATCAGCAAAACCTGTATCGCGTACACTAGGGCCAAATCACAATAAGACAGGCCAAATGACTGTACGGAAACTTCGGTTTTATCCCCAAACCGAAAGGGACCACCGCCGGTGGTTCCCTGGAAAGCACGAACCGCACACCGCGGGCGTCACATCTTCGACCGAGTTCTGCTTCCAGGCTTTGCGCTGCTGCCGCTTTCACTTCACAAGGGGAACAAAACCCGAAGAGGCGACGCTTTCCCTCCCCAGACTCGGTGCTTTCAGCCCGGCCCGAGAGGGAGAACCCACCCCGCGGCCAGCCACGGGCTCCTCCTGTAAACCCCGCCAGCCCGAGGGGGGG